TATGTTCCCCAACCTGTTCAATCCAGATATGTTCCCCAACCTGTTCAATCCAGATATGTTCCCCAACCTGTTCAATCCAGATATGTTCCCTAACCTCCCAATCCAGACATGTTCCCCAACCTGTTCAATCCACACATGTTCCGCAACCTGTTCAGTCCACACATGTTCCCTAACCTGTTCAATCCAAACATGTTCCCTAACCCTCTCAATCCAGACATGTTCCCCAACCTGTTCAATCCAGATATGTTCCCCAACCTGTTCAATCCAGACATGTTCCCCAACCTGTTCAATCCAGATATGTTCCCTAACCTCCCAATCCAGACATGTTCCCTAACCTGTTCAATCCAAACATGTTCCCTACCCCTCTCAATCCAGACATGTTCCCCAACCTGTTCAATCCAGACATGTTCCCCAACCTGTTCAATCCACAAATGTTCCCTAACCTGTTCAATCCAGACATGTTCCCCAACCTGTTCAATTCAGACATGTTCCCCAACCTGTTCAATTCAGACATGTTCCCTAACCCTCTCAATCCAGACATGTTCCCCAACCTGTTCAATCCAGACATGTTCCCCAACCTGTTCAATCCACACATGTTCCCTAACCTGTTCAATCCAGACACGTTCCCCAACCTGTTCAATTCAGACATGTTCCCCAACCTGTTCAATTCAGACATGTTCCCCAACCTGTTCAATCCACACATGTTCCCTAACCCTCTCAATTCAGACATGTTCCCTAACCCTCTCAATTCAGACATGTTCCCTAACACCCCGGACCACTGGCAAAATAGTTACTATCAAAGTGAGGTCTTTGATGTGGGACTTTGTCCCAGTCCTCACTTTATTTGAGCTCTATTGGATGGATTTAGAGGTTTGGTGTGAATTAAATTAGGTTCTGGTCAGTGTTAGGAATAGACCAGTAATGGTTCTAGTAGAACCTACACATACTGTAAGTTCTGGTAAAAAAAGAGTAAAGGTTAAAGTTTTGTAAAGTAAACTTTCTTCACATCTCAGGTCAGACTGGCTTCAGTTTTTGGTTTATTTTTTAAAAAAGTGTAAAAACAGCTCGTCTCTGTCCTTCTGCCTTCAGCTGCTGCTGGAACTCATTGTGGATCATCTGGCAGGTTTCAGAACCAACCAGAAGGTCTTCAGCATGTTCACTGAACAGCTCCAAAAGACCTACTTCAACCACCTCATCAATCCCACCAGGCTGAGCAGGTACCTGTCCAGGTCCAGGTCCAGGTCCAGGTCCAGCAGGGACATACTGTAGATACAGGCTGAGCAGGTACCTGTCCAGGTCCAGGTCCAGGTCCAACAGGGACATACTGTAGATACAGGCTGAGCAGGTACCTGTCCAGGTCCAGG